AGAAAGGTGGAGCTGACCACAATGATCTACATATAACCCCCTCCCTGGGGGACGGACAACAGAAAAGTAGGTGAAGGGAGATGTTGGACAGTGTAAGACATGACAAAATAACAATTTATAAATTATCAAAGACTTGTGAGGGAGGGGGGCGGGGGAGAGGGGAAAAATGAGGAACTGATACCAAGGGCTCAAGTAGAAAGCAAATGTTTTGAGGATGATGATGGCAACAAATGTACAAATGTGCTTGACACAGTGGATGTATGCATGGACTGATAAGAGTTGTACGAACCCCCAATAAAATGATTTAAACAAACCAAAAAAATAACAAAATAAAAATAAGACGTGTGTGTGTGTGTGTGTGTGTGTATGTGTATGTGTAAAAAGGAGCTGATACCAAGGGCTCAAAGAGAATGTAAATGTTTAGAAAAGAATGATGGCAACATAGGGACATATTCTTGATACAATTGATGTATGGATTGTTCTAAGAGCTGTAAGAACCCTCAGTAAAATGATCTTAGAAATAAAAAGGGGACTGCTGGGATGAGGGCCTGCATGGGTCCCTTTAGCTATAATCTTAAACACCACTCTCACCAGGCTCCACACCCAGGGGTGGTCTGGGTCCCTCGAGGGCACCCAGAGCACACTGCACTTCCCTTGTCAGGCACACCTTGGCTGCACTGCTACTGTTCCCGCATCAGACTGCACGTTTGGTGAGTGGAGGGCGAGGATGGTACTGAGTCCCAGACAGAGGACAGTCCTCCTGGTCTCAGCGTTCTCTCCCTCCCCCCAAGGCGCTACAGGGTCCGTAGGGGCAGCACCCCCCAAGTCAGTAGACGGGCTCTGCCCTGGCCCTTCTACTCCTGCAGGCACTCACCTGTAGCTTCTGCTGTTCCGAGTCCCGTTCCAGGACAGAGGCTTGTAGGAACATGGCCACCTCCTGCAGGCTGCTGATGCTGGCCTTGCTCTGGGCCAGCGACAGGGCCAAGTCCTGGGCCTTCTCCCTCCACTCGATCTCACTGGCCTCGGTCTGCTTCAAGGCTCCCTGCAGTCTCTCGATCTCCTGTTGCATCCTGGGCCCTACAGACTCAAGTGCTGGTGGGGGTTTCTTCTCTGGGGAGGCTCTGTGGCTCTGCAGCGAGTCCCCTGGGTTCCTGCTCCGCTGGGCTTCTCTCAGCTCCAAGATCTCCTCTTCCTTTTGGGCTAGAGTCAACTGGAGCCCCCTCAGCTTCTCACGAAGGTCCCTCATCTCCTCCTCCTCCTCTTTCCCCTGCCCCCCTGGGGTCATCTTCTCTTGGCCCATCTGGGCCAGCAACTTCTCCAGCAGCTGCCCTTGCTCCTTCTGCTGTCTCAGCTCGTCCTCTCTCTGGGCAAGGGCCTGCTGGAGCCGCTCCACGGCCGCCTGGTGTCGGAGAGCCTGCTCCTGGAGTTCACCCTCCCGCAGCTTCAGGCCCTCCTCCAGCTGCCGGGTGTGTGCCTGGCAGGTGTCCAGTGTAGCCCGCAGGGTGGCAGTGCTGGCCTCCAGGCTATGGTTCAACTCAGCCTCCCCACGGAGATGCTGCTCTTTCTCCTGCAGGGCTGCCCGCGCCTGGTTGAGGGCCTCTTGGAGGGCCTCGGCCTGGCCCCGGGCAGCCTCCTCTCGATGCTGGCAAGATTGGCTATCGGCACACAGGACCTCCAGCTCCCGGTCCCGTTCCTTGAGCATCTCCTCTGCCCGCAGCCTGCTGTCCTGCAGGGCCCGGGCCTCCACCGCATGCTCCTGGGCCTGCTCAGCACACTGTTGGTGGAGGGTCAGCAGGGCTTTCTCCTGCTGCAGAGATTCGGCCCTCAGGTCACTCAACACCTCCTCCAGGGCCTGTGCCCGCTGCCCCTCCACAGCCAACTCTTCCTGGAGCCTCCGCACCTGCTCCTGGTGGTCCTCCAGCTCCCCCTGGCGCTCCTTCAGTGTCACATGCGTTTGCTCCAGAGCTCCCTGGAGAGCACGAACCTCTTGCCTCGCCCTCTCCTCCTGGCCCTGGGCCTGCCTCCGTTCCTGCTGCAGGGCCTCCAGCTCCTGGTTCCTCTGCGCCAGGGCCCGCCCAGCTTCTTCCAGCTGATCCTGAAGGGACTGTGCTTTCCGCTCCCCTTGTTCCCTCGCTTCCTTCAGGCGCTGCTGCAGGACGGCCACCTCCTGCTCCCTGTGTGTTCCCAGCAGGCTGGCCTCACCCGCCTGCTTGTGGAGCCCTTGGAGCTGCTGCTCCAGCTGGTCCCTGTGCTCCTGGAGCTGCTGGATGCGCTCCTGCTGGCATTCCACCTCCTTCTCCTTGTCGCGGAGGATCAGCTTCAAGTGCTCCAGGCTGCCACGTTGGGCCTTCCTGGGGCCCTTCCCCTCCTCAGTCTGCTCCTGAGAGGGTGGTCTCTGAGAGGCCAGCTCCTGGGCCCGCTCCCTCAGGGACAGCTTGATCTGCTCCAGGTCCTCCTCCAGGATCTTGGTCTGCCGCATCCTCTGATCTTCGAGGACCTGAACCCTCTCTTTCTGGAGCTTCAGCTCCTGGTCCCGCCGCTCGAGCTCCTGGGTCAGACGCTCCTTCTGCCTCTGCAGCTCCTCGATCTGCTCCTGCTGGCACCTCACCGCCTGGCCCTGCTCCCGGAGCTTGTCGGCTAGCAGGGCGTGTTGGCTCTCCAGCTCCCGGATCTGGCTGCTCTGGGCCTGCAGTTCCTGGCTCCGCTCCTCCAGGTCCAGGGTCATGTGGGTCAGCGTCGCCCTCTGAGCTGCCCTCTGGTCCTCCAGCTCCTTGATGGCTTTCTGCTGACACTCCATCCTGTGGTGGTTTTCCTCCAGTTCCAGGGCCAGGCACTCCAGAGTCATCACCTGCTTGCTTAGATCCTGAATCTGGCCTCTCTGGGACTCGATCACGTGGGCCTTTGCCTGTAGCTCGAGGAGCTGATGTTCCAGGATGTTGTGCTGCGTCTCCCGCTCCCTCTCCAGCTCTTTGATCTGGTCCCTCTGCTCAGACAGCGTCTGCTCTCGCTCCTGGACAGCCAGGGGCAGGTGCTCTAACACCGAGCGACACTTCTCCAGCTCCCGGATCTCTTCCTGCTGCAGACCCACCTCTTGGTTCCTCTTCTTCAGGTCCAGAGACAGCATTTCCAGAGTCGCCTTCTGCATTTCCTGTTGCGCCTCCAGTTCCTGGATTTCCCTCCGCAAGGTCTTCACTTCCTCTTCTCTTTCCGATAGGGCCTGGGACACCAGGGCCAAATTCTCCTGCAGAGCCTTCCCCTGGGCCACCTTCAGCTCGCCCTGCTCCTGCAAAGCCTGCGCCCTCTCCCGCTCACTCTCCACCTCCTCCTCCTTCAGCTTCAGGGCGGAGCGGGCCGTTCGCAGGTCTTCTTCCAGGGCCTCAGCCACGCTTGCTTGAGCCCTGGCTTCTGCAACAGAAGCTTGTAGCCGCTCCGCCTGGGCCGTCAGGTTCTCCTTGGCTGCCTGAAGCAGCTCTCGCTCATTCTGGAAAACAAGACGCAGAGTTCCCTCACACTCGACTTCCCCGATTCTAGCATCCCGCCACCATCACTTTGTGGTGCCAGCTGTGGTGTGGCAAAAGCTTGGGCAAAAAGAATCAGGGCCTTTCAGTTCGGCTGGTATTGTAAAAGAGCACCCCTACCACATCACGAGGCTCTGCCGGGCCCAGGAGCGGGCCCCTGGTCTGAAGGAGCCTTACCCGCTCTGGTCCTTCAGGGCCAGGGACAAAAATCTCCACCCAGTTTAGGAAAATCAATCGAAACGTGATTTCCCAGAGTCTTCACAATGGCCCTCAGGCGCACCAGGACAGCCGCGAAGCTGGGGCCTCTGGGGGAGGGATTTGGGCAGGGCACATGATGGAGCATGACCAACCAGGCAACCCTCTCCCCCAACCAGAACCGCCAGACCTGGGCTTCTGTCCCCCGTCGCTCTACTTGCTGTAGGTGGCTCCGTAAGGCGGCCACCGTTTTCCGCAGCTCCGTCAGCTCGGATTCCAGGGCGTTCTGTTTGCCTTCCCACCTGGAGTTCTCTTTGGGAAGAGGGGGGACAGTGAAGCAAGCTAGATCGTGATGAGGTGTGTGTGTGTGGGATGTGTGCAGGCAGATGGAAGGTGAGAAACAGACCCACAGGGCAGAGGGCCAAGGCGGGGGAGAATTACAACCAGTTTCATACAGTTCCCCACCCCCACCCCCTACCCCGCCAGCTGCTGCTGTTTAGTCTAGTCTTCCAGATCTACCACTGCTGATCATCACCCTGCCATGTCCTCATCCACCCCGCACTCATCCCCCTCAACCCTGGGCTCCAGGCCGGGCTGAGCCAGAGGATAATGGAGGTCCTGTCCAGCCCCCAGTGCTGAGACTTGGCTAACGTGCCTCGAGCCACAGGCTGTGAGTTGCCTCCAATTCCTGGTGCACGTGCCACGTTCTCAACTTCGTCCTCATAAATAATGGGTCTCTGAGGAACAAACAGCCAGCTCTAGTGGTATGGCTCTCAGGGAGCCCGGTGGGATCTTCTCAAAGCCCAGGAGTGCTCCTCACGCTGTCCTCCTTTGCTGCAGTTTGTACCCTAAGGCCCTCCCCTCCCCTCGCCTTTCCAGGCATCACCACTCCTTCCAGCCTGGAGCTGTGGCAGGGATACGCTCTCCTCCATTCCTTCTCCTGGATCTCTCCCAAAGAAGCCCATCACCCTCTTGCCATCAAAAGTTAATCCGTCTGAGGACGTGGTTGGAGATGATAAAAGTAAGTAACCGGAACAGAGGACAAAAGATACAGAATTTTATCAAGGGCCTGGTCCTGGGGTTTCTTTGTGCCCTCCAGAGACAGAGAATGGGAGCCAACAGGCTCTGGCTCACAGGGCATCACGAGCCCCTTCTTTTGGGTGAACAATAGTTCATGGGGCCACCACCTCTTTGTCCCAGTTGTGGGGAGGCAGGAATAGTGGTGCTAGGTCTGCTCCTGTCCCTTCTGGGTGGCTCCTCCAGTCCCCCCACCTGCCTCAGCCTTCTGACCTTCCTGGGTCTGGGAGAGCTGGCCTCGGAGTTCCTGCAACTCTGCGTGCACCTGGTTCTTCTCCGCCTCGGAAACAGTTAGCTGCCGTTCCAGCTTCTGGGCCTGATCTCGCAGATCATCCTGGGGAAGAAAGGGCCTGGCTAACCTCAGGTTCCTCCTCTGCCACCAAGCTGTCCCAGTCCAAGCTCTCTGGCTATCCTCAGTCTCTGTGCTGGTTGGCCGTCATGGACCGACTCGCAGGCTGTTAGATTGCTACTGAACTCTCTGAAGTGATGACGGCTTTGCTCCAAGTGTCTGGAGTCTAGAGTCTCCTTCGGTCAAGCCCAAGTCTTTTCAAACGGAACTGTTGATTAAAGCCTTAGCCCAAGGGTCCCCTCGGCCCTCCCTGAACTCTGACTTTGAAGCTTTCTTCCCCCAATTCACTCCCAGGTCAGAATGAACTGTCCCTTCCCCCTACTTCCAAGAGGGCATTAATGCTATCTCTTCCTGACCTATACTGATTCTGCCTTCTACCAAACTGCAGTTCTGGTCCTCAGCCACGCCACAGCTTCTTCCTTTTGTCCCCCAGCTCAGAGTGGCCGCCACACTGGCGGGGCTCCATTTCTATTAACTGACAGGTGGCGGGCGAGGGGGGCTTTGCAGGTACAGGCCTGGAATATCCCTGTAAATGGCGACCTCCAATATCCCAGTCCCCAGCCTTGGAGGTCTTGGTGTCCGGACTAATTCACAGCCCAGAGGCAAACTCCACTGTAAAACAATGCCACCTCTCTGGGAGGGCTTTCCAGCGCTCAGGGCTCATTCACGCCCCCCCCCCCCCATTTAACCCTCACAACTGCCCTGCGAGGCAGGCATTCTTTGCTCCACTGTAAACCTGAAACCAAGGCTCAGATAATCCCCAGGTTTCTTCCTGGCTGCCCGGCAGTCAGTGACAAAGGTGGAACTCATCCCGACTCAAGCGAGGGCGTTCCACAAGTCAAACGACTTGGGAATCTGTCCTCCAGCCTCGGATGGACGTGACGAGTCGAGGAAGGAGGGCAGAGACACCTACCCGGGCCTGTCGAGTCTTCCCCAGGTCTTGGTGAAGCTTGTGGAGGGCAGACGCCACTGCCTCAGCTGAGAAGGCAGTCAGGAGGGGCTCTCTTTTCCAGACACTCCGAACTTCAAGGTGGTCTGTGAAAAGGAAGAACCACCTGATGCGGCTGCCCGTGACAACAAGAGGCCCTCGCTCCCACACATGCCCGGGCCTTGCCACTGGTCTCCCCGAAGCACCCCCGCCCTCTCAGCAGCAGGGGCACGTCTTTGCTGCAGACCTCTGGCAGGCACACTGCGAGCTCGCTGGCAACTGTCATCTCATGAGTGCTTCAGAGAAACCCCAAGAGTGGGTACTTGGGTTGATGCTGTTGTTGTGGGGTCCTGGTTCATGGGCACCCCATGCATACAGAACAGAACTGCTCCAGGGAGTTTTCAAGGCTGTGACCTGTAGGGCGCCAAGGTCGTCTAACGCTTAACTGTGCCATCGAGGGCAGTGGTTCTCAACCTTCCTAATGCCGCCACTCTAATATAGTTCCTCATGTGCTTACCCCCAGCCATAACATTATTTTCTTTCTTTCTCTTTTTTAAAAATCATTTTACTGGGGGCTCATACACTCTAATCAAAATCCATCCGTCCATCCATCCATTGTGTCAAGCACATTTCATAAAATTTTTTTCATTGCTACTTCATAACAGTATTTTTGCTACTGTTATGAATCATCATGTAAATATCTGACATGCAGGATGTATTTTCATTGTGACAAATCGAACACCATTAAAGCATAGTGATGAATCACAAAAACAATATGTAATTATACATGGTGAAATATTTATTTCTAATGACAAATCAATGAAATTTTGTCTTGAAGGGTGTAGCATGGGTAACAGCTGGGTACTTATACTCGTAGGTGGGCCTATCTGCATGTGGGCGGACTCACCTGGAGACGGACAGAGGGGCGGTGTCTCGGTTCCTAAGACCATTGGAAATAGGGGTTTTCCGATGGTCTTAGGCGACCCTGTGAAAGGGTCGTTTGACCCCCAAAGGGGTTGCGACCCACAGGTTGAGAACCGCTGTTCTAGGGGATCCTGGGACTTTTAGAATTCCCATTTTGTACTTGAAGAAAAACAAGCTTGGAAAGGACTGATGACTAGCCCAAGGCACATAGCTATCAAGCAGCAGGGCTGGGGTCTGCTCAAAAAGAACCTCAGAGTCTGTGGGCTGATCTTGGAGCAGCCTCACCTAAGGAACTGTATCTCTCCTCCCTGGGCCCCAGGCACTGGGCTGGACCCAAAGGGCCGAGGTCCTGGACAGCCGCCTTACCTGGCAGTTCCAGGCTCCAGAGGGAGGGCGCAGCGTCTCCTCCACCACTCAGCTCAGGCCTGCTCTCACACACAGACCCTAGGGTCTGCTGCAGGACAGAGTAGAGGCTGGCCAGCTGGGCCTGGGCGTGGTGCCCGGGCTGCTGCTCGGCGACCAGCACCTCCAGCTGGCTCTCCATGCTTTGCAGTCGCAGCTGGAGCTGGGCTCCCTTGGTTTCCTGGGCCCACAGGGAAGCCCGCAGCTGCCGCTCTGTGACTCGGGCCGCGTCCAGATCTTCCAGCAGCTGAGCTTCCTGGGCCAGAAAGCCGGCCTCTTTTTCTTTCATTTCCTGCCTCAGTAATTCCACCTGTCAGGGAAGATGGGCAGTAAGTCTGAGCAGGGACCAGCCGAAGTCAAAGCAGATCCATTGCCATTGAGACGTTCTGACTCAGCTCGACCCTAGAAGACAGGGTGCGACTGTGCTCTGGGGTTTCCAAGGATGTAAATCTTTGCCTTCTTCTCCCTTGCGTGGCTGGGGTGCTCCAACGGCTGACACTGTGGCTAGCGGTCCAACTGGTAACCTACTCCACCGCCAGGTTCCTCCTGAGCGGGGAGGGTGGCCATTTGCCTCCCAAGCCAGACCTCACTCCAGCCCTGTGAAAAATGATGATTGCAGCAAATAGGGAGGGCTCTGAAGTCACTGTTAACCTCCATCTGACAGCTACTAGGTACATGCCCCGTCTACTGACTAGCCTGCCCCTGACTCCCGACACCTGGGCCCAGGCTACAGCAATGGGCTTCTGCTTTGATTCTGCCAGATAGGTCTGCTCTCTGCTTGGTGATGAAACTTTGCCCTGAAACCTGACACTGACCAGGCACAGCAATGACCGTCACCCCCTTCTGCCTTCCTGACCCTCTAGGCCCAGCCTCTCATATTCCATCATGGTCAGGGACCTCTTTGTAACTCTGTAGAGCAGTGGTTCTCAACCTTCCTCATGCCGCGACCCTTTCATACAGTGCCTCATGTGGTAGTGACCCCCAACCGTAACATTATTTTCGTCGCTACTTCATCACTGTCATTTTGCTGCTATGAATGGGGCGACCCCTGTGAAAGGGTCGTTTGACGCCCAAAGGGGTCTCGATCCACAGGTTGAGGATCGCTGCTGTAGAAGAAGACCCCGATGTTCACACAGCTTATAGACAGCAAGGATAGGCGTTACACCCAGGCAGTCTGACAACCAGACCGCCGTCCTCCTCAGCAGCAACCTCCTGTCTCGTTCTTCCTTTCCTCTCCCCGATCCCCACTTCATCTTTCTTTTGCATCCAAGGTCTGGGGTCCTGCTGTGGCCGAGTCCCGTTTCTGCTGGCTTGGTCACTCCCCACTGCTTTGCCTCGTGCCCACTGGAGCAAGCATCCTTGGATGCAGCAGTGCATGACACTGGTCCCCCTGTCCTCACTATGTTCTGGATCCTCAAATTCTCAGTGTCAAGAGGCCATTTGCACCTCTGGGCTAAGTTCCCAAGCCCCTATCCTGCAGGGCTATCAAGGTCAAAGTGTATTATGAAGGCCTCTAAACAATCCCCCTGCTGCTCCAGGAATAGAATTCCCCCTGGACGCAGGGCTCAGGACAAGGTGGGAGGTACCTGGGCACTGAGTTCCTTCTGCCCTCCCTGGGCCTCCTGCATGTCCTGGCGCAAGGAGCTCAGCTCCTGTCGATGAGCAGAGTCAGCTTCTTTCAAGACAAGGAGTCTTTGTTCTTTTTCCACCAGTGATTGGGTCAGGCTGAAATGAGAGGGGTCAGAGGGCTGGGCCGTACACACAGGGAAGGAAGAACTACCTTCTCACCTGACGGTTTCTAAACACAACACTAGTGACCCAGCTAGAAAAGGTAATGATAAGGATTAGGGTGTCACAGTACCAGCTGCCATTTATGGAGTGCCTACTGAGTGCCAAGCACAGTCCTAGATAACTTCATGCGTATGACGCAAAACCAAACCAAACTCACCACCATCAAGTCAATGCTGACTTATTGTGACCCCAAAGGACAGTGTAGAACTACCCAGTGAAGCGGCTGACGGTTTTGAACTGCTGACCTTGCGGATTGGTAGGACACCATTTTAATGCTATGACTTATTCTTTCCTGGCAAATTCTAGATAGAGCTATACAAGTATCTCCAACTCAACATGTCCCAAATTTTCCTGTGCTCTGTCCCTCACCCTCAATCATCTCCTACTATGGTTCTGAGCTCCACGATGGGCAATTCTATCCACCCAGTGCCCCATGCTGGAAACTGGCCATATGAGAGTTCTGCCTTCACTCTATCCACATCTCTGATCTATGACGAACCAGAACTGATTCTGACTGTTCACAGTCCTGTTCTTCTCACCCCCCACACCAACCAACCTGGGTTCAGCCTTAGCATCGCCCATCTGGACAACTGCACCAGCCCCCTAATTTGTCTTCCTGACTCTAGTCTCATCACTAACGGAGTCAGTCCCTTCTCAAACTCCTATCACCCTGAGAAGTGTGCTGCTGCCTATTCTGAATGGGCTCACATCGGTCCTGATTTCTCACACCATTATTAGTCCTCTGACTCATCATCAATGGGGTCACGTCAGTTTCCCTGCTGGGTTTCCCACCAAACTGAACTTGCACACTCCTTGGCCCCCCAAACCAAGGAATGTGGCACTTGTCCGGCTCACTGCACTGCCCTCTAGCCTTGCCAAGCTCTTTCAGTTGGACCGAATGCCTAGCCTGCATCTGCCTCAGAGCCTTGGCACACGGGCGGCTCCATTTCATCCTCAGGGCTCCATTTAGATGCAACCTCCAGAGAATGACCTTCCCTCACAACGTATCTAAACAGGTACCCTCTCTCCCTCTACGTCAACACCATTTCTTTCCTCAGGCCACGGGTCGGGATCTGTAATGTCTTCCCCCAAACCCATCAACTCTGGGTCCCCGGCTGCTAGCGCCATGCCTGGCCCCACACGGCTATCTCTAAATAGTGATTCAACGAGTGGCGTGTCAGCCATGAAGACGGGGTCCTCCTCTTCACACAGCTACTCTCACAGACCAGGCCTGGAGACACGAAAGGCTCGAGAGACCGCTGCTACATGCTCCGAGTCAAGAAGTGTGTGTCTCATGGTGCCCACTGAAGACAGAGAGGCAAAAGCCGACCCTGTGGCCTGTCAGGCCCACCTGGCCTTCTCTCTTTCCAGCTCCTTCTGAATCCGGCTATGTTCTCGGGTCTCTCTGAGCTTCTCCTGGACCTCCTGTTCCATCTGTCTCCAGGAGTCCTCCTTGGCAACCAGCTGAGATGTCAAGTCCTCCACCTGGAATGTGAAGGACATAGAGATCAAGCTGGCAGGGTAGGGTAGTGGGAAAGTGCTCCTCACCAAGGGTCCCTTTCAGGCTTCCCAGTCACTGGTCCATTCCTGATGCCTTGACATCTCCATCAATTCCTCTGGCTTTCTTTAGCTATGTACCCCCCACCCCCCACCCTACTCACTTGTTTCCACAGCCCTGCTTAAAAGCAGGTCTGACCAAAAATCTTGACTGCATGGAACTAACTTCCAAAGGACAAGTGTTTGGGGATTATATTTTTTAATAAAAAAAACCCAGATTATTATGAATATAGGCTTCTCAGAAGGAAAGGTAGTTGAGTAAGACCACCAAGCCAGTATCTAAGAATGCTGGGCAGACGGGAAGGACCATGGAAATGGGATGCCTGAGGAAACAGTAGCTCGGCAGTCACCAGAGAGTGAGAGAGAGAGATGACCTACTGCGGAGGGGCTCTGAGCACCATCCATGTCCCCCATGACATTGTGCTCCCCGGCCCCCTCCCCCGACTCGCCAGCTCAGGCAGCCAGCCGGGCCGTGGCTATTGTATAGGAGGGAGTGGAGAATCGGCCATGCTAGGGAAGGGCTGTCAGACTGGGTGGTGGCGCGGAGGTGACCTGCTTCTGCAGGTCCATCTTATCCTGCAGCAGGGTGCTGCCCTCTGCTTGGGCGGCAGCAAGGGCATCTCTGTGCTGCTGGGCTGCCTCCTTCAGCTCCCGCTGGGCCTCCCGGAGCTGGGAATGCAGCATCCCACTGGTCTCCTGCAGAGGGGGAGATGCCAATGAGCAGAGGAAGGCTTCTCGTGAGACCATGGTTAAAAATCCTGGTTGGATAAATACTGGGCTTTTAACAGGGGCCCGGTTGAGAGGCCCCAGCAACCCATGTTGTCCCCATGATGCCCAGCTGCCTCAAACCCCATGGACTCCTGGCTTCCGAGTCCTTTCCGCTCGAGCAAAGAGCACTCGGGAGTCGGCAGCTGCGTCTCTCAGCAGCCGATCCCAACAGCCAACAGATGTCACCCCTTTCGGCCCCTACCAGCAGACACACCCAGAGCAGTTCCACCTTCTGTAAAAACCACTTACTGAAACATGCCCAGATCTTCCTTTTAAATAACTGCACCCAACAGTTTCCACTGCTCTTAGAACAGCAGTTCTCAACCTGTGGGTCGCAACCCCTTTGGGGGTCCAACAACCCTCTCACAGGGGTCGCCTAAAACCACTGGAAAACACATATTTCTGATGGTCTTAGGAACCAAGACACTGTACCTGTCTCCAGGCGGGTCCGCCCACATGCAGATACACCCACATATGAGTACCAGCATGAAGACTATGACTCATGTTACACCATGTTTCAAGACAAAATTTCATTGATTTGTCATTAGAAATAAATACTTCACAATATAGAATTACCTTTTGTTTTTGTGATTCATCACTATGCTTTCGTGATGTTTAATTTGTCACAATGAAAATACATCCTGCCTATCATAACAGTAGCACAATGACAGTGATGAAGTAGGAACTGTATTACAGGGTTGCAGCATGAAGAAGGTTGAGAACCACTTTCTTAGAACAAAATCCAAGTGCCACCAACAGCTGAGACTCCGGCCTCCCCCTTCCCTTAGTTTATTAGCCCACTCTACACAGGCTTCCTTCCAGCCCTTGAACTCCCGATGCCCTTTCCTATCATAGATTCCCGGACCCTTAGGATGGCGACCACATCTGCCTCAAGTGTCCTCCAAAGGGCTAGCTTCAGCTGCTTTTTTGAAAAAACAGCTTTAGTGAGATTCCCATAACATATTCCCATAATATATAACTCACCTACCCAGTGTGTACAATTCAATGTCTCAAGTATATTCCCTGAGTTGTGCCACCATCACCACAGTTCACTTTAGGACATTTCCACCATGTGCTTTGGCAATCATTCCTCTTCTCTCCCCAACCCCCCCACCTCAAGGAGCTGGACTGACACAGCGCTGGAGTAATGGGCTCAAGCAGAGAACGATGGTGAGGATGGTGCAGGACTGGGCAGTGTGTCGTTCTGTGGTGCCCAGGGTCACTACGGGTCAGAACTTCCACCCCCAAACCAACAAAACCTAAACCCATTACCACTGAGCCAGCAGGACAGAGAACTGCCTTATCGAGTCTCTGAGGCTATACATTTTGATAGAAGCAGACTGCCACATTTTTCTCCTCCAGAGTGGCTAGTAGGGTCAAAGCGCTGACTTTTTAATCGGTGGCTGAGTGCTTTAACCAGTGTGCTACCAGGACCCTTTCCCAGCTCTCAAAACTGCCTAAACTCAATGCCAAAGTCGATTCCAACTCATGGTGACCCGGTAGGCCAGAGGTGAGATGTCTTTTGTGGATTTCTGAGGTTGTAACTCTTTACAGGAGTAGACAGCCTCTTCTTTCTCCTGCAGATCGGCTAGTGGTTTTGAACTGCTGGCCTTGCTTGCGGTTAGCAGCCCAACTCAAAACCCACTGGGCCACCAGGCCTCCTGAGTAAACCACGAATCTACTTGATGTCTTTATGTCGTTGCTGCTGTTGTTACGTGGCATCCAATGGGGTGCCACTTACAGCGACCCTCTGGACCTGCCCCTTCTCTCCACTGTGGTAGCCACTGTCTCCATTCCTCTCACTGGGGGTCTCCCCGCTTTGGTTTGCCCTCTACCGAGTGTGCTGTCCTTCTCCAGGCACTTATCCCTCCTGGTAACATGTCAAACTACTCAAGGAAGGTTCATCAGCCTCTCTTTTGAGAAGGTCCTGACGTCCTTGGTATCTCTACAGATCTGCCCATTATGAACATTACATAGAAAAAGAATCCTATGCATGTGGTCACCTAGCGCCATCTTCTCAAGGGTCATCCATGTTGGGGTCTGTGGTTGGCCTTTCACCTTCAGGTCTCAGCTCACATGTCACTTTCTCAGTGAGCCCTCCTCTGACAAGTTCATTCCAAAGGGGCCTCTTGAGTCCCTGGATGATATCACCCTATATATTTCCTTTAGAGCACTTATTACAGCCTGTAATTATGTATTTTGTGTCTGCTTCTGCTTTCTCCGCCTCTGACCCTAGATTGTAAGTTACCGGAGTGCAGGGACTGTGTCTGTAACAGTCCCTGCCGTGCCAGACCTTCATGTAGTTATCATATGGGCCCACCAGGCACAGGACCCGGAGCATACGTGCCAAACAATTAGTCTTTGTTGAAGTAGCCAGGGGGTGCTCCTTTTTCTTCCTTGCCCAGGGTAGCCCCCATACCTGCTCCTTTAGCTTCTGACCCTTCATGTCCTGTCTCAGCCGCTCCAGTTGTTGGCTTGCATCTGCCAGTTCCTTCTGGGTCTGCAGCAGTGTCTCTAAGAGGGACACTCTCTCCTTCTCCGTTTCCAGCTGCATCTGCGGCAGGGCGGGAAAGGAAGGGCTTTGTTGGGTCGCGGCTAGCATGTTCACACGTGAGCACAGTGAAGCTGCTCTAGGTGAAGGAAGGTCTGAGCCTGCGGATGCAAAACCAGGAAGTGCAAAGACCGCCACCAGTTTACAAGCTGACAGGAAGTGGCAAATGTGAGCCCTCCCTCCCTCCGGAAGTTGGTCCTGTGGCTCAAGGTGATCGCTCATCCCCGATTACTGGCAGAGTGGGCATCTGTATCCTTCTCTGGGCACCCTCTGCCACATCACTTTGGGAAGTGGGAAAGGAAGCGTCCCCCTAAAGGTTGAATCACAGATGGGGATGTGCAGCTCCCACCTTCAGGGCTCCCCACCTGGCACAGAGCACTCTCAGCCTGGGCCCGCTCTTCCTCCTTCTGCACCCGGAAGGCCTCGGCTTCGGCCTGCTGCTCCCTCAGCCTCCTTTCCAGCTCTGTCTTCTCCCGCTTTAGGCCCTCCACAGCCGTCTCCAGCGCCTGCTGGTGCCGGGAGCGCTCTTTCTGCTGGCCGCGGGAAGGAAGCACTTGTTAGAACTGGAAGGGTCGGGAGAGGCAGGAGGAGGACTGGAGCAGCAGTGAGGCCCAGCAGAGACGTCCAGAAGCCTGCTTCCTCATCGGAAAACCTCTTTGCCTCACCGATCTTACCAGACTTCCTAAGAGTCACATGACATGTACTAAAAATCACATACTCTAGGTTTGTGGAAAAAAAGCAATTCAAAGATGATGGAATTTTCTCACAGGCTTTCTGAAGCCCCTCATAAATGTAAGCGTACTTTCTAAAGGGCGATCACCTCACTTACGCTATAAGTATCTGTTATCTTAAAGCAACTGCATCATGGCTGACGGCTGTGATGATGAACTGAGGCAGCAGACAAGGGCTCTCTGCTTCCCGTGCGCCTCGCTGCCTCCAAACCAGGCCTGGCATCACTAGTGAGCCCCTGGTGGGTGCAATTAACATGCCTACCTACCAAACTGAAGGTTGCCGGTGCAGGTCCACCCCCAACGTGCCTCGGAAGAAGGGCCTGGCAAGTCACTCACGCATCCCCCAGATCAGCAAAGAAATCCTCAACCACAGAGACCCCGATGGAGCAGAGCTGTCCTCGGATACACATGCGCTCACCATGAGCTGGAATCAACTTGAGGGCAACTGAAGCCTGGCTTGGGTGCTCCCACATATTCTCCCTTGGGGACCAAGGGACCCTGGCTCTCCCAGAGTTCTACCAGTGACCCAAACCTTCCCTGAGCTCTCAGAGATGGAGTTTTGGAGCGTGCCTCCTGGAATTATTAGTTTTCAACTCACCGATCCGAACGTGACTTCAATTTTGAATCATCTCTGTGCCTCCATTTTTACGGATGCGAGAGCAGAGGCACGGAGATGATGGCTGTACTGACTAAACCCAAACTCACTGTCATCGACTGAATTCCTTTGTATACATACTTTTATTGGGAGCTCTTACAGATACTACAACAATCCACAATTCAATTAGATTGAGCCTAATTGTACAATGGCTGCCACCATCAGTTTCCTTCTTTCCTTTTGAACTCTTTGTTATCAGCTCCCCATAGAGCCAATTCTGACTCAGAGTAACCCTACAGGACAGGGTGCAACTGCCCCTGTGGGTTTCCAAGACGGTGACACTTTACAGGAGTAGAAAACTTCACCTTTCTCCTTTGGAGTAGCTGGTGGTTTCGAGCTCCTGAACTTGTAGTTAGCAGCCCAACTCGTAACCGGCTAGCTACACCACCAGGGTTGCACTGAGGATCGAGGCAATTCGTGGCAGCATTGGAAAGCGTGCCGAGAAGAGCTAGCCATCAGTTTATGATAGTGGTTATTACATCAGGACAGGATGTGAGCGGGAATCTCCACAGAGTTTATGGGGAAATGGAATTAGGAGAGAATGGAATTTTTCCACAATTTTGTTGAAGGCCCTTCCAATTTATTTAAAATGCATATCAACGAGTAGTGGGCAAGTTACTCAGTGGCACACCTCTAGTGTTTTGCCCTTTCTACCACCATCTTCTGCAGCTTCCCTGCCCCCTCACCTCCTATAGGACTCTCTGGTTACGCTGGCCTCCTTCCAGTTCCAGGAGCACACTGAGCTCTTTTATACCACCTGGAACGCTCCCTCCTGCCCCTTCCATCTCGGGGTAACCGACACTCTGTTGGCGAGGCTTTCCCTGAGCCATCCAAATAACACCCCCTTTGTTATTCTTTCTGGTAAAACCCAGCTCTCGTTCCCTGGGAGACGCTTCGACTTTACCATTGTTTCCTGGTGTCTGTATGAACTCATTTAATGCCTGCTGCCTCTGCCCCACACTGGAAGCTCCCGAGGAGAACTGGTCTGGGTTGCTCTCACTTAACCCTCAGGGTGCACCTGCCCTGCGTCACCACTGCAGCAGCACTGGTCAGCTGAAGCGCAGTCAGTATGTCTTCGATGTGGTGGTTGTTTGGTGCTGTCCAGGCCATTCTGACTCATAGCGACCCCGTGTGTCAGAAATGCACTGCTCCACTGGGTTGCTTGGCTACCATTCCCGTGGAACCACTGGATGGGTTCACACGAATAATCTTTGGGGTTGCCACTGAGTGCTTAATGGCTGTACAACCAGGGACTCTGAAAGGCAAGTACTGGGCTGTAGAGATGCCTGAGGGCAGCAGTCTCTGGTTGCCAGTTACATGACCTTATCCAGACTTATCCACAAGCTCGGTGTTTCCCAAGGTGAGTGATACTGCCACTTTGCAGCAACCGAAAGAACCCGCAATGCCCCCAAACCAAACTTACTGCCGTTGAGTCGATGTGAACTCCTAGTGACTCTCTAGAGCAGGGGAGAACTGCC